TCTGAGATTTACCCAGGAATACAATGTCTCTCCCCAGCTTGTCTTTTAATCCCTTGGTAGCTTTAGGAAAGTTAGGGGAAGATTGGTTTTGTTCGATCTCGGCTGTGTTAGGGCAGAGATTAGTGTGATGTGCTGTAGATGCGCATACTGCACATGCTGGAGGCCTGAGGCCTGCAAAATGCCTGCAGAATAGCTCAGTGTCCAATTTGCTCCAATTAATGCTTAAATTGAACTGAGCCAGAGCTGCAACCACCTTTGCAGAAAAGGAACGGTGGTAATCGTAAAAAGCGGTACCACCGTATTTGTGCCCCAGGTCCACCAACTTGTGCATGTATGCATCCAGCTCTGCTCTTTTCCCTGGGTATACTGAGCAGTACACATCCCTATAAATCCCAAAACCCAGTACAAATTCAGGTATTGACAGTTTTTTATTTAGTCTAGGGTCTCTAGACCTTAGTACGGCAGATATATCCCCATATGCAAAAGTCCTATTCTCTAGGACATCCTGGGAGGCTATAAGCAATGACACCAGGTTGACATCCTTGCCTTCCAGAATGTCCTTCTTAAGGTGAGATGGGACCATGTGTGAGGGGTTAATGTCTTTGCTAAGAGACCCTGATTCCAAAGTATTACCAGTTATGTCAGCCAGAGGGTGACTGGCCGCAATTGGGTTCGTAGCGGTCTGTTTAGTACCACTTGTTTCCAATTTATCCAGTCTGTCATTAATTGTGCTGATGGATGACATGAGCGAGGTCATCATGGAGTGGAATTTTGGCAATTGTGTGCCACTAGGGCCTTCCCCTGCATCAGAGTTGTCCGTGCCCGTATTCAAAAGTCTGAACAACTCAGCTTTCGTAGCAGTAGCTGGGAAAGGGATGCTGCGTTTTCTAAGTTCTGCCGTGAGACGTGGGATGGTCCATGATCTGAGAGAAGCAGGACTAGCAACGTCTGTTGCAGGAACAGGGGTTCCAGGCCTAGCGGGAGTGCAGGGTAGCAAGAGTTCCACGGGGATATCAGGGTCATTAGACATAATCGAGGTAGAAGTAACCAGGGACTGTAAGAGTCTCGAGATGATTACCTGTTGGATATGAGATTTGATATATGAACGTGTGATTAAACATAGTTTTAATGGCCAGATCGTGGGCCCTAAAAACAAGGAACCTACCCGACACTGCAGAGGGTAGATTTAACGAAATTGACGACGGTTCTCCGTGCTTGTAAAAGCTACCGTTTTGAAGGCAAACAACCTAAAAAGTTAAATACATGCTTAACTAATGTAATGTGTATCATAATTTAAACAATAACCAACCTATAAGAAATTGATACCAATGACAGATTTCACAATTCCCAGCATGAACCACTGGGATGACTCTATGGGGAAAAAAACAATTCAGGAAATCAGGACCCATCAACTTGTTTAACAACATTCCTATTTAAAATAGATTTACTGCAATAACATTTGTAACCAGTAGGGGCTAAATTCTCTTGGAGTACTGGCTGAATTCATGTTAATACGTGCGTTAGTGTAGCTGCCGAAAGAGCTATGTAGAGTATAGTAACAACCGAATAGATACACCATAATTTACATGCGAAACCAACCGATTGATGTTTAAGTATGATTTAACCGAATGATATCGTTCGTTAGTTTGAATTTGTGAAACACGCGAATATCAGAGTGAAGCATTAAAACGAATGCCATAGTGATATAATAAAACAAACCGAACGTAGATTTGAACCGAACGGGGCGCCACCGTGTAAAGCAGGGGAATTGCAGCGGTTGCTTTACGGCGAGCCTGACTTACGGTTTTTGTGAAGAGGGAGCACCGAGCGAGCTGTGCAGACACCGGCGACGGTAAGGAGAGCCAGGGGAGCCCGGACCAGGAGACCACGAGGGAACAGGTAAGGAAAATCAAAGATGGCGGTCTGAACCGGAAGTAACATTTCAGACTCGCCAGACCAGCAACGGTAAGGTGGGAGTGGATTGGCAGCCCTTTTAAAGGTGAACCAAGCCCCTCCCACAACTCCAGGCCAAGCCTTCAAATATATATATGTATATATATATCAATCAAAAAGGTTATGGTGGGGAAAAAATTGTGATTGAAAACCCTTTCCAACTGAAGTCTGTGGATAGTTAAAAATATGCACACCAGTCAAGCCATAAGACTTGCTTTTCCCACAGAAGTCACAACCACAAAGAATTCTGGGTGGGCATGTGCAAATTAGTTTAACAAAGAATCAAATGTTTGCCTCATTCCATTTTAAACGTGGATTCCTTTTGAGTCTGTGTTTGCTGTATAGAACAGCTTTGAAACACAACTTAGGAAAAGATGCAAAGCCAGTGAACCACTCATGGACAGATGTTTCATTGTTAATGCAAATCATCAGCATGAGGTTGGTTACTGGTTTGCTATTAAAGCTTGGTAGTGCTTGGGAGGCACTACCATATGTGTGTGTGTGTCTGAGACTGAGGGTGGTTGGGGGTGGTGATGCTGAGGGTGGTTGGGGGTGGTGGTGGGGGTTAGTGAGGCTGAGGTGGGTGGGGGCATTGAGGCTGAGGGTGGTGTGGGGGTAGTGAGGCTGAGGGTGTGGGGGGCAGTGAGGCGGAGGGTGGTGTGGGGGTAGTGGGGCCAGAGAGTGTGGGGGGCAGTGGGGCTGAGGGAAGTGGGTGTGGGGGTAGTGGAGACTGAGGGTGGGGGCAGTGAGACTGTGGAGGGTGGAGGGCTGGGGCTGTGGGTGTGGGTGGTAGTGGAGACTGAGGGAGAGGTGTGGGGCGCAGTGAGACCGAGGGTGGTTGGGGTGGTGGGATGCTGAGGGTGGTTGGGGGTGGGATGCTGAGGGTGGTTGGGGGTGAGTGTGTAAGGGTGGGATGCTGAGGGTGGTGGGGGGGTAGTGAGGCTGAGGGTGTGGGGGCTAGTGAGGCTGAGGGTGTTGAGGGTAGTGAGGCTGAGGGTGGTGTGGGGGTAGTGAGGCTGAGGGTGTGGGGGGTAGTGAGGCTGAGGATGGTGTGGGGGGTAGTGAGGCTGGGGGTGGTGAGGCTGAGGGTGGTGTGGGGGGTAGTGAGGCTGGGGGTAGTGTGGGGAGTAGTGAGGTCAGAGAGATCAGATGAGTCCTTCAGGACTGTAGTGGACACTGAATACACTAGCCTAGCTATCAATTTCCCTATCAAATCAGCAGTAGCTACACTGTCCCTCCTCTCACTAAGAATGCAGCTTCACAATGAATGTAAAATGGATGCTGTCCAGGAGGTGGGAGGGTCTGGGAGGGAGGGTCTGCTGCTGATTGGCTGGAATGTGTCTGCTGACTGAGGTACAGGGTCAAAGTTTACTCAATGATGACGAATAAGGGCGGACCGAACAGCGCATATGTTCGCCATCCGTGGCGAACGCGAACAAGTGACGTTTGCCAGGAACTATTCGCCAGCGAACCGTTCGGGACATCACTAATAATAAGTAATGATAATACAATATAAGTTTCAGTTAACACTTTTATATACTGCAGCACGTAGTTATTATACACTGGTATATGCCAGCATTAATGTACATTTGATACATGTGCCTGCCAATATATCAATATTAATAGAGGTAAACTATTTTATTTGGTTTTTACAAAAAGGACTCTTATGGGAACCTATCCTTCATAGCACAAATTGATATTTTAAGACAATTCTCTTCTCAATGTGGTTCTTTTTTGTTGTTCTTGGTTTGGTGACTGGTGTCAGCAGCCATGTTCAAGACCCACAGAAAACACTGACAGTGCTTTCAATCTGCAGAGTGATGTATTTTTATAAATATTGATAGAGGGACAGATTAGACTAGACAGGCAGACAGAAAGCTATATGAAAACATTTGGACACCCTGACCAAAAAACATATTGTTAAAAGAAGGGAAGTTAACACAAGCTCTGCATTGAAAACTTCCTCTTGATATACTTCTGCAAGTACCTCAAAACACATCTTTTAGCAGAAATCATAGCCTTGTAGACAACTAATAGTGATGTACCGAACGGTTCGCCAGCGAACGGTTCCCGGCGAACATAGCATGTTCGCGTTCGCCACGGCGGGCGAACATATGCGCGGTTCGACCCGCCCCCTATTCGCCATCATTGAGTAAACTTTGACCCTGTACCTCACAGTCAGCAGACACATTCCAGCCAATTAGCAGCACAGCCTCCCTAGCAGACCCTCCCACCTACTGGACAGCATCCATTTTAGATTCATTCTCAAGCTGCATGCTTAGTAAGAGGAGGGAAAGTGTAGCTGTTGTTCATAAGATAGGGAAAAGCATAGCTAGGTTAGGGATAAGGGTATGCTTTTTTTGGATTTTTTTTTTCTATCTAATGTAAATGCACTTAGTTGTCTGCCACTGCTGCCAGCTTCTGTGTCAGGCCCACAGTGCCCATTTCCCCAGTCAGTGCCACCAATTACATCTGGTGTCACAATAGCTTGGATTTAAAAACAAAAAACTTTTTTCACTGTTATAGATTGAATAGCAGTCAGTTGTCTGCCACTGCTGCCAGCTTCTGTGTCAGGCTCACAGTGCATACTGTGCCTATTTCCCCAGTCAGTGCCACCAAATACATCTGGTGTCACAATAGCTTG